AAACATCATAATTGTTTCCAGGGATGTGGGATTGATTATTGTATATCCCCATCTTTATAATTGGTATACAGCGGAGTGGGATCTGATCTTGATTGATCTCCTCGAAGCCATATTCTTTATATTGGTTTGCAGCGGTGTGGATCGTGTAACATCTCAATCCAGCACATTTTTTTATAATCCTGAGGTAAATTTTTGCCAAATCGTGACACTTAAAAATTACCTCAGAGAAAGGACATCTCTAGCGCCATTTTGATATACATTAAGCAAAATGGCACCGCCTAAAGCAAAGAAGGGTACTTCTGAAGAACCAGAAAAAGAAGGGGCTACAGAAGCAGTTGAGGAAACTGAGACCCAAGTACAAGAGAGTAGACAAGAACAAATAGCTACCTCTTTGACAATTGAAAAGCTTAGATTAGAAATGAGGTTGAGAGAACTTGAGTTTCAGGCTGAGAGAGAAAGAGAAAAGATACAAGAGAGGGAGAAAGAAAGAATGATTGAGTTGGAAAGAGAAAAGATGCAGATGGAGAGAGAAAGAGAACGTTTAAGACATGAGGAGAGAATGGCAGAATTACAATTGAGAGAGAGTGAGAGAACTCCTAACTTAAACCAACAGCATGACTCTAATATGCAAAGGGTTTTAAAGAACTTTCCTCCATATGTAAAAGGGGATTGTGTAGAGTCATTTTTGGCCAGTTTTGAACGAGCTTGCCATGATTTTGAGGTACCTGAAGCCAAAATGATGGTGTACCTGAGACCACTACTTTGTGGGCAACTTAGTGAGGTTTACGCTGATCTTAGAGTCAGAAAGTGCGAATTACCTCATTTAAAGAAAGGGTTAAGCTGAGGTTTGGCTTGACGCCTGAACAGAGCAGAAAAACGTTCAGGGAGATCAAAAGAAAGCCAGGAGAAACCTTTTCACAATTAGGAAGCCGAGTAGAGAAAGCCTTAGAGAGATGGCTTGAGGGAAGTAAAACGACCACTTTCGAAGAGTTAAAGCATTTAGTTTGTATGGAACAGTTTTATCGGCTGATCCCCATACAAATGAGGTGGTTCGTTAAAGACAAGAAGATTAAACAAGTGTCAGATCTCGCGGCTTGGTTGGATGAGATGGAGCATGACTGGAATGTGAGTCATAGCTCAGGAGCCACCAAGAGACCGAGGGAATGGGTCCCAAAAGAGAAAACCGACGTGGGAAGCCAAAATCCTGTCAGGAGGGACGCCATTTCAGAGATTGCCACAGGAAAAATTGTCTGTTACTTCTGCCATCAAGAGGGTCATAAGAAAACGGCTTGCCCTAAATTAAACACCCAGAAAAGGCCAATTACACCACCAAAGCCAGTTAAAGTGGTTAAACAAATATCTCCACACAAAGAAAATCAGTCTCCACACGCACAGGAGGAACCTGTAAAGATAATGCGAGTATGGAGTACTGAAAAAGAGACAAATGGAGATTATTTGAAGGTGATAAAAGTAAAGGGTCAAGAACTAATGGGATTTAGAGACACTGTGTCCGAAGTATCTCTCATTAGGCCGGAGTTTGTCAAGGAAGACCAGATACTTCCAGGCCAAAAGTATAAATTGAGAGGAATTTATGGCCCTGTATTTGAGGTGTCAGTGGCTGAAATCCCAATAGAATACAAGAACTTCTCTGGAAAATGGAGAATGGGACTTTTTAATGATTTAGAAGTTCCAGTATTGTTGGGAAACAATTTGGCTGAACGCTGTCGGCATGTTAATATGATTACCAGAAGCCAAGCTAAGCTAGAAGAGGAGGTTGAATACAGTGTTGCTGAGGAACAACCATCTACCTCACGAACAGAAAATGACAGCCAAGAAATTCCCTTCAGCTTAGACCAGAGCCATATGAGACAGTTTGAAACAGCCCAACAACATGATGAAAGCTTTAAAACCTTATGGAATGAAGTGGTCCCAGAAAGTCGCACACCCACAATTGAAGAACCAGTTTTGTTTAAAGTTGTGGAGAATAAATTGTACAGAGTTGTGAGGAGACAAAAGAGTCCCAAATTCTTTGAGGAAAGAACACAACTGATAGTGCCACAAAAGTATAGAGCTAAAATCCTCAAATTAGCCCATGATACTACCTTCAGTGGACACCTGGGTATTAAAAAGACCAAAGACCGCATCCAGGCTAGATTTTTTTGGCCAGGAATGGGACGTGATGTGACAACCTATTGTAAGACCTGTGAGACTTGTCAAATGGTGGGAAAAGCCAAAGATAAGACAAAAGGACTGTTACAATCAATTCCAGTTGTCATTATTCCCTTCGACAAGGTCGGGGTGTACATTATTGGCCCTATGTCCCACAAGACACTTGATGGGCACAGATTCATCTTGACTGCCGTGGACTTTGCCACACGATACCCAGAGGCAATTCCATTAAAGGAAACTGACGCCAAAACAGTGGCAGACGCGCTGCTCAATATATTTGCACGCGTGGGCTTTCCTAGATCTATCGTTACAGATCTTGGAGCTACGTTCATGTCGCAGCTGATGCAAGAAATGTTCCGGACCTGCAAGATAAAGCATCTTACTTCTACTCCATACCATCCTCAAACCAACGGCTTGATGGAAAGATTCAACGGTACACTCAACCACATGCTGAAGGCGTACGTCCACAAGAACCCTAATGATTGGGACAAGAAACTACAACACTTCTTGTTTGCCTATCGGGAAGTTCCACAAGCCAGCACCAAGTTCAGCCCATTTGAACTGTTATATGGGAGAACACCAAGAGGACCTATGGACATTTTGAAGGAAGCATGGACAGGAGCAGAGGACATTCCAGAGACTGATATCAACAGTTACATCGAGGACTTACGGGGACATTTGACAACCATGAGAGACTGTGCAGCAGAGAGTTTGTCAACTGCCCAGCTGAAGCAGAAAGAACAGGCGGATCTTCACGCAAGACACAGATGTTTTGATGTGGGAGATAAGGTCCTGGTTTTAGAACCAAGATCTAAGAAGAAACTGGAGGTTTCTTGGGAGGGACCTTATGTAATGCTGTCAAAGACTTCAAAAGAATGTAGTACTGTGAGAAGTGTACTGGCCGGTTGTAATTTGAGACTGAATAATAGGGGAAGGAGAATTGGAATTGGGTGAAGGAAAAAGAAAAACAACCTTATTCATTATAAGGGCCAGACCAAAATAATACATTGCTTATTGAAAGTGTTAATGTAGATAGGTATAATGTACTGTAATGTTTTTAAAATGGTTAACCTATCTCATTATAGACGTGTGAAATGTATGGTGATATTACAATGGTGAACTGTATATATTTCATACAATAGGTATGATGGGTAAATACATTATATTGAGGTGTGTTAGTTATGTAGATTGTTGACAATAGGCAAAGAGTATGTAGAGGGTCACTGTATAAATATAGAGGTGTTTGGATAGACTGTTTATTAGAATAGAAGAAAGTTCCTACAACAGTGTTGTAACCTCATGAAAGACAGAAAGACTCTTATTATTGAAATAACTTGTGATTGGATACAGAGACTTTAATCTCTCCAAATTATTTAGACTTGTTCATAAGTTTAAGAGACTTGATGATATTAGAAGATTGATGTATATAAAAGTATTGAGATTGTATGTCCATAAAATGTCGGGAGACAATGTGTGGCCAGATGTAGATAAAGTATAGACAATACTAGAGTGGCCTCATATAAATACTCAAAATGTCATCGCAGATACGTTGTCCAGAGCCATGGGTTAAGGTAAAAACTAGGATTGGAAAAGGTATTGTATTTACTATGTTAGAGTGTTTATATGCATTGTTGTAATGTATTTAACATGTTTTTTTCCCACAGGAATGTATTTATTGTGTATAATGTGTATATTGATTGCAAAATGTGTTTATTGCATATGTGTGTATTGCAAAATGTATTTAGATGTTGTGTACATAGATAGGATAGATAGATTAGTTAGGGGGGTTAGTTAGGCTTAGAATATTGTTTGGCTTTGCTTCAGAAGAGGTCTGCAAACCTCTTCACTCCGCAAACCGTCTCGAGGTGGGGAGGGATGTAAAGGTCCCTTACCTTTTGCAGCCAGGATTGCAGGGCCTAGTGTAAGTCTGCCAGCTAGTTTGCAGATTAGGTGGGCCTGGCGAAGCACCAGTAGCCATTTTAGATCAGGGAAGGCACCATCTTAGAGAGAGTTTAGAGAGGGGGAGTGTCTTAGGCCCAAGTCAGCAGAGATCGACCAGGATTGGTTTAGAAAAGGGGGCGGAGTTTAGAGAGGCTTGGAGGGAAAAAGAGCCTTTTAAGTCAGAAAGGGGAGGCAAAGATTAGAGTTTGAAGAGAAAGGATGTTTTGGAAGTTTGTGGTTTAGGAGTTAGGAGAGGGCAAAGTTTGCCAGTGGTTTGCCAGCAAAGTTAGCTGAAGCAA